TTACCCAAATGTTATATCTGTTTCAAATGGTTTAAGCTGATGTGTGTGGAAGTCTAAATAAGGTATAGTATCCTGGACTTCTCCCATTATCTTGCCTTTTACCATTGTGAAAAGTGTGGAGATTGGTCCGTAGTGAGTTGTGTGGCCTACTCCACATTGGTTCTTCCTCAGGGTTAGTAATTTTTAAAAAAAATAGTAAACGTTTTTTTCATGTACCCATTAGAAAGCATGAAAAAACATATTTTTAACTAAAAGCAAAAGAAATTGATCTTATATCTAAAAATGTGCACCTTACTATATATTTCAGTTGCTCTCTGAACAGAGACTACCTTGAATTCAGTATTTTCAATATATTTTCTAACTTTCTTTGAAATATATGCAGGAATCTGGGCTGGCTGGTTAGCTCACTTGGTTAGAGTGCAGCCTTGTAACCCGAAGGTCACAGGTTCATATCCCCATAACAGCCATCCACAAAAAAAAAAAGAAATATGTACAGGAATCTGGTTTAGCACTGGCATTTTGAACAGTTAAAGAGTCAAGGAAAAATTATTGCTTTTTTTAATTTGCTGTCATATGTTGCTTGAAAATGCTGTAATTTCCTACCATGTACTTTCTAAGTTATGCTCTCCTTTACATTGTAGCCTCAACTAAAGTGAATTCTGCTTTTCAGTTTTTTTCTTCACCATGACTTACTGTGTGCTAAAAGAGTTTCGACATGGTATGGCTTATTTTGCTAAAAAAGTATTCTTAAGTATTTTCTATGTGATTTTCTTACCTTTTTCCCCCTGCTCCTTTTGCATTCTTAAATTGAGGAAAAAGTCCCTGAATAAGCCACCACCAGAGTGGATAAAACTTAGAATTTTTTATTAGTGACACTATCATAGATGACAATCTAGAGCTGACTGAGTTCAGTAAAGAAAACAAAATAGTTTATACCCTTAATCCTTAAACTGATGAAATCAGTAGGTTGTAACCATTAGTTTTGAACTTTGGGTGTACATTAGAAGCATCTAGGCGTGTTTTAAAAGAAATACTCGTGTCTGGGCTTCACATCCCGAAATTCTGATTTACCAGATCTGGAGTATAGCTTGGGTATTGAGACATTTTAATGCTCTGGCTGCACATTAGAATAATGTAGGGAGTTTTAAAACACTTGCCAAGGCCTCTTTCTAGATGAGGCATATCAGAATGTCTGAATGTGAGGCCCATGCATGGGTGTTTTTAGAAAGCTCTCTGGGAGATTCTAATGTTTAACCACTGATGATATTCTAATGTTGAGAACCTATTGAATAAGAATATCCTAAAGCACTATATCTAAAAGAAGTTTCAAAAGAATAGGACTTTTCATTTTTAAGGAGACAACTATCAGCAGCAGCATTATGTGCTGTCTTTGTGGATTAATAGCTTCTGGTAATTATACAGTGTATTAAAGATGCATCACTTACTAATCATTACTGTGTCAATTTTTCTGCAGCCTACACTTTGCTCTAACATGCCTTTTCTCTTTTCCTGGAGATTCATCCTCATGACACAGTAGGAGACAAAAATATTTATTGTAATCATCTTTGGATTTGGTTGAATCATCGTATCATCATGTGTTGGGGAAATATTGCTTTATAATCCTTTATTTGAAAACCTAAGGCTAGTTGTGTTTTAGAATTAAAATTTTTCAGACTTTAGAAAACTCATAGGGCTTATATAAAATATTTCACTCAAAACCATTAAAAAAGTCTGGAGTAGGACTGCATTATCAAATTGTTGAGTGTGATAACAAAAAACTATAAAGAGCCTTAGATAGGTCAGGTCAGGTTTTGTCACCAAACTTATGAACAAGCTTTCTGATTTCATATCTTTTGGATATAAGAATATCAGATAAAGAATTATGGCTCTGTTTGGGGGTTTTTAATTTTATTTTTATTTTTATTTTTTTTGGTTTTGTCTTTTTTTTAATCTTAGATATATTTTACTGTAAC